CTTCATTAGAAACAAAGAGTGCTGAACTGCTATGTAATATATATCTATTTATATGTCAGTAAATGCTGGACAATTTTACCAGAGAAGATTTGTTTTCTGAATCTTTCTTTCTTGTTTTCTGAATCTTTCTTTCTTTCTTTCTTTCTTTTTTTCTTTCTTTCTTTCTTTCTTTCCCGATGTCCTAAATTAATCGTCTCCAAAGAAAAAGGAGAAGCAGTTACATTTTCCCATGTCACATTTTCAAGCACAAATACAGCAATCACAAAATATGTTGGTTTAATAATTTGAAATTATTATCCAATAAGTATTAATTTAAAAAATAATTCAATTATCAGATTAAATAACCCTTCTTAAGAAAGAATCTGCAATGTTATCAGCTCTAGACTGGCATATTAGCTTCAGCCACTTCTTCACCACCGTAACGTAGATTCCCTTGACATTTCTGTAAATACTTGAATGGTAATTGTTCTGATGAGTTTTATTCTTTGGTATCTAAACTTTATGAATTTAGTACTAGTTTTGGCGACAAGATCTGCTCATTTTACGGTTCAGATGACTACATGTAAATTCTATACTAATATTTTTTTCAATAGCACTTCTCCCTTGTAAAACTTATTCCCAACTTCTTGCTTCAAAGTCAAATTTGATCTTAAAATTAATCGTTATTTTCTGGAATATCAATCGTTATTTTCGGTCTTCTCAATTTCTGTTCTTTTTTGTTCTTAATCCTTAAAAGAGTTTTTAATAATATTCTCTAATGTTCAGTAACCCCTTGCGTGTTATTGACTTTATGGTCTTGTTTGCGTGAAAAAAAAAAGCACAAGAAGGAAGAATGCATAAAGGTTAACAAGAGAGAGTTATATAGCAAAGAATATCTTTCACCTGGATCAAAAGAAACTTTGGTGGAAAGTCAGACCAAAATTGTGCTGTCTGAATACCTATACCAATGACCTGGGCCATATCTATATGCCACCTTAACAAACTTGGAATCAAGTAATAAACTAGTTTATAGAAGGGTCAGTCAGCATGTAGTTGCCATATTTAAACTCTAGCAGTTGATATAATAACAGAAGCTTTTATAGACAAAATGCTGTACAAATTGTAAAATTGTGTTGTTTGAATACTCTTACCACGGACTTAGGCCATACACATATCCCACCTTACCAAACTTGGAATCAGGCAAAAAACAAATTTATATAAAAGTCAGTAAGCATTTAGTTGCTATATTTAAACTCCAGCAGTTGATATAATAACACTAGCATATGTAGAAAAAAATGCTGTACAAATTGTAAAATTGTGCTGTTTGAATACTCTTACAAAGGACTTAGGCCATACCCATAACCCACCTTACCAAACTTGGAATCAGGTAAAAAACAAATTTATAGATGAGTCTGTTAGCATGTAGTTGCTATATTTGAACTCCAGCAGTTGATATAATAACAGCAGCATATGTAGACAAAAATGTTGTACAGATATAGATTTACACAAGCATAAGCGTGCATTCTTCAACTAAATTATGAACGACAATATGGCGACGTCAGAATGAAACATTAAGAGTAATTTAACTGAGTTGTGTTGTAAAATACGTCAGAAACATGACATGCGAATCCGAACGTTCATTGGAATATCCTAAAAATCTCTTCCAGAATCCAAAATAAAGACTTAAGATAGAGGTACATTGCTTTAGAAGCAATTCTCTTCCTTCTCTCTTATGTGATATGTCTCATCAAGATATAGGCGTTCATAGCTCAATTTCCTGTCTTTTGTAGTTCTTAATAAATTTTGCATTTTTGTTATTTCCCCTAAACTATCTTCCTCCATACATTAACTCATGTATGTTTTGTGTTGTTTTCCGCTGTCCTTCTTGCTTTCAATCTGTCGTGTATATATAAGAAATTCCAATGATCCTTTCTCATTATGTGCCACAGAAATTTCAATTGTTCTTGCTGATGTTAAGTATAAGTTTCCTTTTTGTTTCCTCTAAAATCGCGTCGTTGCTCACATGTTCAGGTTCATCATCATCATCATCATCATCATCATCATCCTGCGGCCTCAGCCGAGATTGAACTCACTACACCTCTCCAATATTCCCTATCCGTCATAGCTCCCAAAAGATCTTCCTTAGGGATCAATGTGTCTCGTTTTATCCTATCTGGAAAGGTTAACTTGCGTGATCGATTGTCAGATGATGAGTGCCTCCAGAGTACAAATGATGACACAAGTTCATCTGTGGCACGTGCACAATGCCCGGCAAACTGGACACGTCTTTTGCAAACTAAGGTTGATACTCTCGGCAAGTCTCCATATATCATTTCTAGAGTTGGGCGGTTTCGCCATGAAAGATTAAACACTCTTCTTAAAAGACGTGTATAACATCCATCTAAACGACGCTGTTGTTTTGCTGAGAGAGTCCAAGTTTCAGAGCCATAGAGTAAGATTGGCTCAATAAGTACGCGGAAAAGTTGGATTTTGAATTGACGAGCAAGATTGGATTTCCAGATTTTATCCATTTTGTTACAAACAGTCCATGCCATGCCTTTTCTAATGTTGAAATCTTGATGTGTGATCCTAGATACTTGTAGTCTTCGACACATTTGAGGATGTTCATAGTACTCTCGACTTACTTCTGTAGAAGCACATTTATATTCCTTCACGTTTTTTATTCATCTATAAGGATATTCTGCAGGATTTATTGAAACATAGGGGCACAGATATTACGTAACAGTTCATTATTCTTTTCTTTTTACTTTTTCTTAATACTATGCTTAACTTTTGGAATCATATCCCAATGCATCTTTGGAATTCAGTGTTGTGCATTCCGTCCTCTGCCAGAACATGTCCCAGATATTTAAAGTTTTCTTGTTTGATTTTAGTATCACCGCTTTGTAATTTGCATTTTTGCCTCATCCTTTTACTAATAACCATAAGCTTGTAGGACTTCAAGTTGTCTTAGATTTTCCTCGTTGTATTGGGTGAATAGTTCCGGTGGAATGACGCATCCTTGTCTTAAAACCGTTTCTATTTTGCTTTTATA